ACGGCGGAGGCCGTGGCGGTGGCGGTAAACAGGACGGGTCAGTAATCCGGGTGCTGCGCCGCCACCTCGGCCCGATGACCGCTCAAACCCGCTGGCACCAGCAGCAGCAGCCGTCGGCCCCGTCGCCGCCGCCGCCGCCACCGCTGCAGCTGCAGCGCGCGGTGGTAGGTGCAGAGGATAAAAGTGGCCGGGTTGGGCGCGAGAAGGAGAAGCACGAGGAGGTGGGAGAAGGAGATGAGGCGGGTTTCACGCCGTCTGCTCAAGAGGGCTCTTGTGGCGGTGTTCTCGGAGATGGAGGAGCAGCAGGCGGGGGAGTTAGTGGGGAGTTGCGCTGGGCGGCACTGCCCCACCTTCTCCATGTGGGCCATCACGGCAGAGAGATTCTTTGCCTGAATGTACTGCCGGCCTGGCGGCACACACCGCCGCCGCTGTCGGAACGGCAAGCAGGAACTGTACGGCAGCACCCGTCGTTGCTGCCGTCGCCGCCGCTGCCGCCCCCGCCTCTATGCGTGCTGACGGGCGCCGAAGACGGCGGCATCCGTTGGGTCTCCGCGGTGCCGTGCACCGATAGCGGCGGCGGCGGCGGCGGCGGCGGCGGCGGAGCCATGTACGAGCTGTGCTTCCGTGACGGCGCGGTGGTCGGCGAGCACGCGGCGGGTACGGCCGTTCGGTGCCTGGCGGCGTGTGCGTTGGGCCCTCGGGAAGCCGCCCTGCTAGGTGTCACAGCCGACGGGCCCAGGGCAGCATGTGCCGCCAGTGCCATTGCTGCCGTACACCCACACCAACCGCTGACGGAAGTAGTGCCGTACCTTGTGCTGTCTGCGGGCGCGAAGGAGGTCCTCATGGCATGGCTGGTGTGTTTGCGGGTGTCGTACAAAGCGGCGGAAGCGGCGGCGGCGGAGGTTAAGAGAGAGGAGGGGGGTTGTACGGCCGTATGTGCGGACGGCGATATGGAGGCATGCCCGCAGCTGCCACCACCACAACAACAGCAGCAGCAGCAGCGTGAGGAGGGGGAGGCGGGGGAGGAGGCGGTCAAGCCGTTCTACGCGGCAGAAGTGGCGGCGCTGATGAGCTCCAGGGCGATAGGAGGTGCTACTGCTGCTACCACTGCTGCTACCACTACTGCTACGGCTGTTCCTGTTGGGGCTATGCAAGTGAGCAGCCGGTGGCTGTCCACCCGGCGGTTGCCTAAACAGGAGCTGAGGGCGCTGCGGGCGGCGGCGGGCGGCCAGCCCCGGTCGTCTGCGGACAGGTGTGTCTGTCTGTGTGTCTGTGTCTGTGGCGAAGGGGGTGTGAGGTATGTAGGTGTGTATGTATGTATGTGGGATGTTATGCGAGGGGGGAAAGGAGGGGACAAGGGGAGCACGGGGGGAAGGGCGCTAAGAGACAACAACGACGGGTTAACCTGTAAGGAAGTTGACGTGTGCGGGGGGGGAGAGCCCTGCCGTACACCGAGCTCTGTGGCGGCCCCAATGCGGATGAGGCTGTAGAGGCCTCGCCTCGCGATGAGTCTGTCGGGATGAGGCCTCGGGGCCCACACCATCTGTATCAGCTCTAAGTCTAAATCCCTCCGCACTACCCCCTCTTTCCCTGTCCTCTACCTGTCCACCGCTTTCAGGCGCTACCTGGCATTGGCACTCCTCGGAGTCGCCTCCACGTCTTTTTGCTCCACCGCCGCCACCGCCGACACCGCCGACACCTCCTCCACCGCCGCCACCGCCGCCACCTCGATGGCGACGGCGCTGCTGGCGGTGTCCTCCTCTGACGCCACCGCCAGCCTCCTCGTCTGGGACCTGCACGGGACCAGCCGCGACAACTGGCGCCGTGTGGCCGCGCTGGCGGCGCATCAACACCCCGTGCTGTGTATGGCGCACACCGGGGCCAGACTGTACGGCAGCGGTGGTGGCGGTGCTGACGCTACTGCTGCTGGCAGTGTGCTGCAGCCAATTACGGTTGGCGGTTATTGGTTGGCGACTGGGGACACTGCGGGAGATGTGGCCCTGTGGTGGATACCCGGAGAGCTGCATGGAGCCGCCGCCGCCGCCGCCGCCCCCGCCGCGTCGCCGCTGCCGCCGCCGCCGCCGCTGGCGGCGGCAGGGTTGAGGCATGGAAGGAAGCCCGGCGGCGGCGGCGGTGCTACAGCCGGATCTGATGCGGCGTCGGCACCTCCGCCGCCACTGAACCCTGTTTTGATGATTCGCGGAGTCCACCAGTCGGGAGTGAACTCTCTGGAGTTAATGGCGGACGACGCCGTCTGCACACCGGAAGGCCCCCCCGGCCCCCCCGCCCATTACCCGGCAGCTACCCGCAGCTGCCCAGCTATCCGACTCGTGCTCGTGACCGGGGGAGATGACCAAGCTCTGGCAGTACTGCACTTGCAGGTGAACCGCGTAATGAGCTCACCGGGTGCCGACGGCGGTGCTGGTGGTGGTAGTGGTGGTGGTGGTGGTGGTGGTGGTGCTGGTGACTGTGCTGGTGGTGGTGCTGGTGGTGGTGCTGGTGGTGGTGCTGGTGGTGGTGCTGGTGGTGATGGCGGGAAACCGCAGGAGCATGGCCTTAAGGTGACGGGGCAAGAGCAGCAGCAGCGGCAGCAGGAGGGGCACTGTTACCACCACCAGCACCACCACCAGCACCAGCACCACCATCCAAGTCAGGTCCAGGTGCAGTGGCGCGGTGAGGTGGTGGGTGTGGCGCTGAGGCCGCTAGCACACGCGTCCGCACTGCGGGGGGTATCCGCCGTCACTTCTCACTGCCCCGCCCAGCCGCCGCCGGTCGTTGCGATCTCCAGTGTCGGGCTGGACCAGGTGGTGCGCTTGTGGAGCTTGCAGCTGCAGCAGTCGGGCTGTACGGCGGCGGCGGCGGCGGGGGGATGCATGGGAGTGACCAAGGCTCCCGGCGGCGGGCTGGACGAGGCTAGGGGGGGATCTCCGACCAATCTTCGACACGTGCTGGGCATCACCGAGATGTCGTCATTGAAACACCGTGTTGTGGAGATTGGGATGTTGAGTACGGGGAGGCGTGTCGGGGCGGGGGCGGGGGCGGGGGCGGGGGAGGAGGAGGAGGAGGAGGAGTGCTGCGGTGTGTGTTTGGTCGGCGGGGTGGAGCCGCTGGTGCCGGTGCCGGTGGCGGCCGCCACGGTGGAGGTTCCGGAGCCCGCGTGTCTGATGGCAGTCGCAGTGACGGCGGCGGAGAAGGAGGAGGAGGAGGAGGAGGCGGGGGCCCTAGACCCCGATCGAGAGCGGTCGGTTAGGCCGGGGGCTTCGGTTCACCCCGCCGCCGCCGCCGCCGCCGCCGGGGGTTTGCGGGGCCTTAACGCTGGCGGTTGTGGTGGTGGCAGTGGCAGTGGTGGTGTCGACGGGATGGCGACGTCGCGGTTTGTGATGGCGGTTGCCGGTCGAGGACTGCAGCTTCTTGAAAGTGGTGGGGGTGGCAAGTTGTGAGGGGGGGGCTCCCGGGGGAATATTGGGGAAGGGGTTAGGGGGGCCGGGGAGTCGTTCTCTTGTGCTGTGTGTGTGTGTCTGTGTGTGTAACGCATAGCGTGACATATAACGTAGTGAGCCAGCGTGTCGTGTCGTACGTGTCATAATACGCTGAACGAGCCGCCGTACGTACGTATGTAGGTACCCTTTGGATGGTATGCCTGAGATCGACAGGCAAACAGACAGACTGGCTGGACAGACAGATTGTCTGACAGATCGACAGATCGACAGGCTGGACAGACAAACAGACTGACTGGCTGACTTACTGGATGATAGGCTGGCCAACCCCCAGATAGAAACAGACGGATTGGCGGACAGACGGACAGACGGACAACGGCGGAGTGGCTTCAGCCGTGTTGCTGCTGGTGACATACATACAGGCTGTAGGCGTGTGGTGGTGCGGAGGGGTTTTTCCCCGGGGGAGGGGGGGACTTCCTCCCCCACCTCCACCTGACACCTCGTGCACATACAGTGCACATGTTCACCGTACGACGCAGTGTACGAAACGATTATACGCAGTATCTTTACACCGCAAGTGCGTTTTTTAAAAATACGCGTTGTAAGACGCGATGTTCGGCATGATGCCCTCTAGATGTTGAATATATGTCGTACTCTCCTAATTAATGTTGTCGTATGCTATGCCGGTCTTGTGTTATGGCGTCGGCAACTAACGCATCACATCACATCACATCACGGCTTCCAACGCGCGCAAATCCTGAACATTAGAAAAGGAGTCCAACGTAATGTACGTTCCAACGCTATCCCCGGGGTTATGGGCGTTACAGGGTGGACTGCACATACATACATACATACGTACATAACTAACTAACCAACAAATGGGAAAAGCGCAAGGATGGCAAGACATATCCTGGCAAATGTCAGGGCAAGCCCCGAGCAGCGGCACCAGGAAGCTTCCCCCATCCAGCCAACCAGCCATCAATCGATTCAAGTCTACGGCGGGCCTTCGCATACTCGTACAAGTCGTACAACACGGATCCAACAGCAGCAAAAAACGACTTAAGGTGAAATGGGGGAACTCATACACCACCTAAGGGAAATGGTCCGTTTCTGGAACTCAGACGCCCAAGACACCACTAATAGGTACAAGATCGACAGGTGCTTGCTTTAATACTTACGCAGGAAAAACGAACTGGCCTCAATCAGCTTGCAGTCAACACATTATTTTGTAATATTGCGCTCAGCGGTAAGGTGAGAACGTAGTCAAACACGTCTATAGCAGGTCTAGTGCGTCCCGTCGTTCACACAGTACGTCTCGTACACACAGTACGACACAATCACACAAGAATTATTATTATTATTATTATTTAATGCCCTACATCCCGCACACGCATGCGTGCGAGATCCAACATCCGGCCTCTCCTCACTCCGCTTCTCCGTCCTCCCCAACCAAACGCCACTCAAAGCACTCCAGGCTAACGTATCATCCAGCGTCGCAGCTTTATTACTAAAGAAGATCTAGAAACAACGCTATTTAAAAATTTAAATGTCTCCCAACTGCATACTTAGATATTAATCGCCTCCTACTGCGCCGCACGACACCACATCACTACGCACCGAGTCACCGAAAGACAGGCAGGGGGGCCCCGGGGCGGCCAAGGCCCCCCCCGTACAAGGAATATCCAAAGTCACTTCGCCAATAAAGCCGTGACTGAATGACTGAAGACCACCTTATGCCTTGGATCAAGAAAATCCAGCGGTTCCACCCTCCGTACAATTATTTAAACAGTGGGCACATCACATACGTACATACGTACATACACCTTCTCCTCCTCCTCACCCTCCTCCTTATCCTCATCATCATCACACCCCGGTCATCACCCTGCGCCCTCACACACCATCTTCGACACTGCCACGTAGCTTGCAGCCCCCGAAAAGCCCCATGCCGCACAGCCCCAGCCGGCACCCGAGGGCCGCTGGCTTCCCTGGAATTGGACCGCCGCGGGCATTGCCCCGCGTTGCCCCCGCGGCAAACTCCAAGTCTTGGACCACCACCACCGCCGCCGCCCCCGCTTCCACCCCCGTCGGGGCCTGCGCCGCCACAGCCGCCGCCCCCCTGGAGTCCCCGTCCC